GAGTTTGTTAGCTAATACAAGTTATAATGTAACCATAAAGCTTAAATTATGATGAAACTTAAGCCAAATATATAATAGCAAAAACTCTTTTAGAGTTTTGATAGCTAATATACCTATATGATATAAACATAGTATTGCTTTAAGATATGAATAAGCTTAAGTTACATATATAATAGCAAAAACTCCGTAGAGTTTGTTAGCTAATACATGTTATAATGTAACCATATTGCTTAAGATATGATGAGATTCTAAGCCAATTAGCAAAAACTCTTTAGAGTTTGTTAGCTAATATACTGATATGATATAAACCCCAAACTCTGTAGAGTTTGTTAGCTTATATATTTTACAATCTGAGTATAGTACTATGCTGAAGATATAATTAAGTTAAGGTAAATATATAATAACCAACTCTGTAGAGTTGTTAACTTATATATTGTATGATGTAATAATCATAGTACTGTGATGATAAAAGAACTTAAGCAAATTATATATAGCATGTAGCTATTTAGTACTGTTATAAGATAAGTAAAAATCTGTAAGATTGACTTATCTTCTCCGAGGAACTGTCAACTGTTGTGCGAGGACCATGGATCGAATTGGTGGATACCTGAGACGCCCTCGTGTGATGATATCTCTCAGATAATGGTTGGCAACCACCATATCGGATCTCCAGAAATTAAACCCTCCATTATTTCAAATAATATTGTGTAGATCAATTGTAGAAGTTAGCTTCTAATATCATGAGTATTAAAAGCTCATGGAGGGTCGGATTGGGTCCATCCGCCTTGTATGCACGTAGTATGACAGTTCTGATCCAAACGGAGATATAGTACGTGAGATTTCATTCTGCGTGAAGTTGATGATAGAGGAAATAATCTGTTGTATTATTCCCTTCTGTTTGTTTTCGTGGAGATAAATTTACAGTGCTCTTGCTGGCCATCGTGATAGAATCATCGTATCATGGAGTCCAAGTATGTCATCCAGGCGTTGTTCATAAACCTCACTTGTGAGGTGTTGGAGCACTATATTCAGATCCCCAAGTTGGAGGGTGAAACTTCCGCTTTAATTCTCCAATCAGAAAGTTTAAGTAGGTTTACTAACCATCTAGTTGTGTTAGTAGCTTGATTATGAAATTCAGCTGTAGTCTGAGACGCTGTGGATTTAGATCCACTTGTATCCCGTCGCCTAGGTTATTCGCTGAGAAGTCCTTGACGATGTAGGTGCACAACCCGTGTGTCTGTCCTCATTGAACTTTATGTAAAATTGCCTGACTGCCGCGCCCTCGCCCTAACTTGACAGGGAGGTCTCTAATCTGAAGAAAGCAGCCCAATCATGAAGGTTCAGATTAACTGGACTGTAAGGAGGCTTGCTCGCTCACTGATATATAGTTTTCACTTGTAACGTAAGTCTTGAACTGTGAACTAAGATCGACCTCTGCGTAGGTCGTTGTCCAACGCGGTCCAATCAGAACAAGGCATTTTGATTCTGTAGAATACCCGCTGTGATGTCACCGTGTAGCAGGAAAAAAAACCTTGTATAAAATCTTGCCGCCGCTGATATTAGCATAATCGCCGGTCTTCACCGAAGCTTCCCGGTTACCCGAAAGTGACCACGTGTTTCGAGGGTTAAGGTAAAACGCGCTGAAACCTCCGCCAAATACCTCGCCTGTATATTAATGCTGGGTAGGTTATTTTCCTGGCTGTCGGAATGTAACTTCAGTTTTGAATATAATTCGACTTCCTTATATAAAGGTACAATAAACTTGCAAGTTGTCAGCTTGTAGACTGTATACATGAATGTATCGGCCATAATTGTAGAATTAAAGCTGAACTTGTACATATTTCTTCTCAGAAACTTTGACGATTATGAGTTATACTCGCTGTAACAAGGCTGCTGTTCAATTTCGATATTGAATTGTCTGCAGATCTGCGTAATGGTCACGCATGTAGATAATCGTGATCAGAGTCCGGGATTGCATATTCTAGCAATCTATACGGAAAGGTTGATTTCTGTGAAGATCTATGCAACGCCGCTGATTAATTAATATAGCTTAACGCTTTTGTGTTGTAAATAGCCTGTGCAATTGTCTTCGCAGAGGCTTATAGATCGCATATGGCATACAGTTGATAGACAACTTATGCGCGATGTCTTGAACGGACTGACGAAAGTAGCTATATATGACGAAAGTGGCTAATATATGGAGACCTTGGAGGAGAATTCCTCGGTGGACGCCGGAGACTTCGCTAAGCCTCAAGCATCCATTCTAGATTTCCTGTGTGAGGTAGACTTGGAGCCACTTAGCCTTCGCGACCTTCGCTGAAGGTATCGAGTCAGAGCCCGATCAGTATATATATAATATATGAGCTTTGCTTCGCGAATCCACCTCTGTGTTCAACAGGAGTGAGTGAGTGAGTGTTTTGTTTTACCGCGACTCAGCAATATGTGGGGTCGGTGAAGCGCCACTCCTCCGCGGACGCCCCTTGTAACTGGTGAGGCTCTAGCTCCTTCGCTGGAGGTGGCCTGGGACTTCCTTAGCGCTGCCGCCTAGAATTCGATCAATATATGAGCCGCTAGCTTCATACAGGGTGTGGTTCTTGCTGGTTCTGCATAAGTAGAGCCGAGTAGATCATCCTATCATCTTCAGAAGTCGCGGTCACCAAATCTGGTGATAAGAATCTCATTGATCGCTCTAGATCTATTAATGTTAAGAACATACGCTTCTGGCGCTTGAACTGTTATGGCTTTATGGTAGGCTGTGTCCACATACTGTGGCACCGCAGCAATCGAAGTCGATCGGAGGTAAGGTGATGGCGCCTGCCTCGCCTTCCTTTATCAGGTATGTCTGCGCCGAAGTTGCCACTCTTGGAAGGTGAAAGAGATCTAGGTTGTTTACCATCCAATATCGTGATCTCAGCCGCCTGAGAAAATGATGCCTCCATCATTTTCTATCCCAGCATCGCTGATGAGATGTTGCTGCTCTTCTGATGGTGGACTGTGTATTTCTATCTCTATGTCGGGTGACGCCGGGAGACCTGACTGTAGACTTGTGTGCAGACTTGTGTGGTGACCTGTGAGACGATCGACGTGGTGATGTAATGAAGAGATCGGGCGCGGGTTAACGGGCGCGGAGATCGTGGTTGGTGATCTGGCGCCTATGGGTTGACCTTCTCGAGACCTGTGAGGAGAATGTTGATAGCTTCGCCAAGCTCTTGTGTAGTCAGGTGTCCTTCGCGAAGGCCTTGAAGGCCTTCGCTAAGCTTCCTCTGGCGCCCGTCCTGGGGAACGGCGATTTGACCTTCGCAAGGCTTCCGTGAGGTCTGATGGTCTGAGTCCGTGATCTAAGGATGAAGCCGAGGCAGGTGATGATCTATCCCGCCTTCGCGAAGGCCTTCGCTAAGGCTGTACATCTGGGTCCTTCGTGGAGGTGGTCTGCGACTTCCTTCGCGGAAGGTGGCTTCGCCGTGGCTGTTACGCTGATGGGGGTGCCTCTGGGGTGTCGTCTGCGTTGGAACCTTCGGCAAGGCTCAGGCCTTGGGCTGGCTGCTTCCCAGTCTGTAGTGGCCTCCATCATGATCATGATTTGCCGCAACAGTTCATCTGGGATGGTCTGCGATTTAATTAGTCGGTGCCCTCTCTGCATATGTTAGCGCGGGCCCTCAGGGAAGTCGCCTGACGCCAGTGTAGAGACCTCAGGCTGCATGGCGATCTCTGCTGATGTCACTGTAGCTGTCTCCCGTCAGCTTCTTGTGGCGTGACGCCGGGATGATGATCGGCTGATCATCGAGGCCCAGTTCAGCGGCTGGAACAATCTCGCTGAGAAAGTCCTAGTAGACTTCGCTGATTTCCCCTCAGAGGTCGACGCTGCCCTGGGGTGCTAAGTCTGGCGCGTTGAGTGTTGGTAGCTTAATGGACCCTCAGGAAGATCATAGAATATCAGCGCTTGGTACATCAGGCTGCATGTTGATCTGGCGCTGACATCACTGTTGTCGACATCGGTCATTCTTTGATGTATTATCAGGTATGATGATCGGCTGATCATCATACAGGCCCAAATCTGCGACGGAACAATCTCGGCTGAGAAAGTTCAAGTAGACTTCGCTGATTTCCCCTCAGAGGTCGCTTGAGATGCAGTAGAAACCCTCTAGTCTTCGGCTGCGACGATGGGATGTCTGGGGAAGCAGGACGCTTCTTGAGGCGGCGGACTACGCCCCCACTTCCACCACTCTAGCGAACACCAGACGGGAGGGGGTCTACCAACAGCAGTAGACTGGCGAGGGTTTCAGGTGTATCAGTCATGGCTAGACTCTGCATAACGCCATCTATCTGCGCGCTGCCTCAAACGCAAAGTAATTATTTATTAAAGGTAGAAAAGGATAAATTAGTACCGCGAACTGCAACGCGGAATAAAATGAACATGGCGCAGTACAACTAGGGCATATTAAATGCGGATCAGCAGCAGAATAAAAACGTAATCTGCAACAGAACAGAATTTTTATCAACGAATCCACTGAAACAAACACGCGGCCCGTGAATAAACAGTAGAAACAAGACTAAATATCAATATATAATTGTTGAAGGATACTAGCTAAACCTCTATAGATGTCTATACGAGGTAACTAACTAAATATAATCAAAGGATATAGTGTGTCCGGAGACACAGGCGCTCTCACGTCCAGCTCACTGGGCTAAGAAGGAGAGAGTGAGGCACATGGTGGAGGTGGCCTCTCGCTCCCGCGCTTGTGGAAGGGAGGTAACTCGTGCTGAGTACTAATTAGTGATTTTACATTGAAGGGAGCTTCAATTAGGGAGATACAAGTGTTCCACTATGTTCGCAAGAAGAAGAAGACAAGCAAAAAGAGCATGAGTCAGGATAAGGAAAAATATACTGCCTGGCCGATTAATCGGCCTCCGGTGTCTGGGGACTCATAACGTTGTGGCCGATTATTTGGCCTGTGGTATTGAATGGGTTAAAGACAACTTTTTCCTGAAGGTGAACTGACCTGTGAAGATGCTCGTAGTTTACAGAAGACAGCAAAGACCTTGAGACTGGCTGTGTTGGAGTTGGGAATGGTGAGGAAGTGGAACCACAGCCGATGATCATGCACATAACAGTGGATCTTCCATCCCTTCTGACATGACACTGGGAATGGCTGAAACACAACAACAATATTAGCCCAAAGGCAACATGGTTTAAATTTTAACTTTCTGGTTCTGCCCTCTATGACAAAACGCTAATGCCTCACAAATAAAGAAGACGTTTAAACGTTTAAAATATGTCACAAATAAGGTGTAACAAATATAAATACTTGCTAATGAATACAATAACAAGTCAAAAGTTGATGTATTATACAATATATTCAGTGAGACGATAACAAATTACATGATTTGACATGTTTTTACCAAGCTGACGGCACTACTTTATCAGTATCACATTACACGTGACTTCATTAGTGTCAAATTAAATATATATAGTGTTGACTACATCATGACTGGCGTAGGTATATTCCATTTAGCATATCTTTTTCGATAAAACCATTCAAATGTAAGTCAAACATTTATAATAGATAATGACTATTTGATTCTAGTGATTACGAATAACGAATTGAGTCCATGAAGGGACATTGTTCAATTCACCGAAAACTAGAGTGAATCGTAGCAGCCCTAATAATCTACTCCTGTCATTACACTTACTGGTTATAAACAAATGTTCATTGTAAGTCCGAGACCTGATCCTCAAAGCGTTAGTAGCGCTACGACATTAGTTGGCCTATGATAAACTATAGAGTTACGACAGGTTGCAACGTTACCAACGCTTTATGGGTCAGGTCCCAGAACTTATGTTTGCAATCTATTTCATTTAGTTTCTTAAATTCATTTCATTGATTCATTCATTATTGCTTCCATTGATTTTAATGAAATCATAAGGGATTGAGTAAATCACTTATTTACACCAACCATTCACACTATTACCTTAATTTAGCCTTGAAAGGAATGTTAGTTGACAATGGCAGGGACAGAAATGCAATTTTTCCCGAAGGGTGCCATAGGGCACCAGACATATGAATCATGTAATTTATATGTGCCTTTGCAAAAATATGTGTGACTATATATCTTTTGATGATCCGATTAAACTTAAAACATCACAACAATTTTGCCCTGTCAACTTACAGTTAATAAATCAGTAAACATTATGTCAACCTGTAAACCTGGTAAACTAGGGAGCTGGATTTCCTGAACACTATCATGACTGCAAGAACAGTTCAGCTTTATTTGTCCTGTATCATAAACGAACCCACAAACTATGTGATCATCCAAAACAGGATTTCCTGTCATGGGCACCAGGATTCAAAATGGCTTGTGAGATTGAGAGTGCCATTGATAAATAGTTTGATCGGATGCAAAAACAGATTTTCAATCATTTGAATTCGTCCAATTTATTGCATTTTCCATTAAATTAAACATGGTGATTATTAACTGTATAATTTTAGGCGTGCCGTCTGGGCAGTGGGAAAATATTTCAATCGTGCCATTTCAATATTTACTGTGCCATGGCATGTAAATCAAGCACTATTTTGATCACTGAATGGATAAATCTTCCATAAGTCACGTGTCATACTCTGACTCAGTACAAGTCATTTTTGCTGAATCATGACAATTTTATTCCAACATAAATTATTCGCAATAGAAACAGAGCTGAGGGAACTGTCAATGATGATTGATCAAGCTGTGCTCTACATCAAAATATACCCAGCAATATCAATCAGTTAAAGCAAAGTGGTACGCTTATCTATAGTTATTATTATTTGATATTAATATTATGTTTTACAAATTAACTTTACGATGAAAATGCAGCAGAGAGAGAAAGAGAGAGAGGGGTTGAGAGAGAGAAAGAGATTTAGAGGGTAAGAGAGAGGGTGAGTGAGAAAGAGAGAAAGAGCAAATGCAGCAACAGAAGCTATAATAAGACAATACTGGAATACACAATTCCTTGCATTGAACTTAGTTTAGAGTCATGGTCATTGTGTCAAACTTCTAAGTGTAGTGCTATTAATTATTATAACTGAATCACCACCAGATTGGGAGTAAATGTGTCCATCTGACTGCTATTTCTGGGTTAGTTTTGTCTCAGACCTCACATTATACAAAAGAGGGGTGCTTTCTTTAGTGCATGTGTAGAATTCTGACAGTGTTTCGTTTATTTGTTATTCTCCAATATTCCAGTTGTATGTCGGCAGACTGTTAATAAATTGAATCTGGTCCCGAAAATCCAGTGATTGACATCAGGCGCACCAGTGGATGCAATTGAGATACAAATTACAATGACAAACATCAACCAAGTCATCGAGTCTGACTATACAACCAGTTACTCTACGCTGCCACAAGCTGTACTCTACACTACAACAAGCTGTAGTTGCTGAAGACCAGTTCTAACTGTGATCTTCATGGGTCTAGTTTTGGTAATCCTTACATTGTTTGGCATGGTTTATGAATCTGCCGGATGTGAGTGAGTGAGTGAGTGAGTGAGTGAGTGAGTGAGTGAGTGAGTGAGTGAGTGAGTGAGTGAGTGAGTGAGTGAGTGAGTGAGAGAGTGAGTGGAGTGGGTGGGTGGGTGGGTGGTTGGGTGGGTGGGTGAGTGAGTGAGTGAGTGAGTGAGTGAGTGAGTGACATTCAGCATTATTCCAGCTATATGGTAGCAGTCTGTAAATAATCGAGTCCGGACCAGACAATCCAGTGATCACAGCATGAGCATCGATCTGCGCAATTGGGAACCGATGACATGTGTCAACCAAGTCAGCGAGCCTGACCACCTGATCCCGTTAGTCGCCTCTTACGACAAGCATAGTCGCCTTTTGTGGCAAGCATGGGTTGCTGAAGACCTATTCTACCCTGGATCTTTGCGGGTCCTGCCGGCTGTGATTCATAGTATGAATAAAGACCCAAACGAGGCCAAGAATTGATTAATATATTTATATCACCTAAGGATCCCACTCTGAACTTCTGATGATTATAAAGACATCTAAAAATCATTAACTTATTTTTAATTGTTATCTCAGACATTCTGAAATTTCAGGTATCAAAATCTATAAACCAAAAACAAGACAAGAAAGTCTGGCCTTAACGAGTGGATCATTACATATATAATGGAGTATGTATGTGGGTTGGGTTTTCTGGCGGTTTCTTTTTAATACTTTAATTTGACTTATTTAAATGAATTCTATCATGATGAAAAGTCTGCCAGTGAAGTGCAACAAATCAAAGAGAGCGTCAGAAATTGGTACAGTCCCCAGGTTGTGATAAGAAGCTTGAGGCCTAAGTATTTGCATGATTAGGGGGTGCCACATATGTTTTGCTCTTATCTTGATCATGGTTACTGCTATCAGCTGGCAGGGCTTGATTTTAGAAATGTTACCCTTCTTGCATCAGGTGCAACCTACAATAAAAACCTGGTTGCACCAGCCAAATTCCAGTTGCACTGCTTTTACTAAAATATGCAATGTGGTGCAAGTTGACTAATATCTGGAAGTTAGACTAATAACTGGGTTGCAGTGTGCACTTTGTAATATTGGGTTGCACCAGTGCAAGTAACAAAGCACTAAATCAAGCCTTGGCTGGTCATACAAAAAGTACTAATTCAGCATGTTTATGAAATATATAACCATGGATAACTTAACATGTTTCCAGAATAACCACCAGTTACCTTTAATACTAGTATATTTACTGAAAAACAGAGTAAGGACTGAATGACCACCTACCTTTGCATTTTTGATAAGATCCAGGACTTCCTCAGCTGTGACTTTTTCTTGATTCTGAAAATGTCATTGAGTTGTTGGAATCATAAAACTTACATATATTTTCAACATTGACAAATTCATTTTTGACATAAACTGTAACTGCATACTCACACATGACTAAAGTATTGTATTTTTATTAACCTCATCAAAGCTACTAATGACTAATAATGTTTCAATAATGCTCTGATGACCCATATTGCAAAAAGAAATTGATCAATATTGTCAGTGTCAGGGTTACTCTGTACTAAAAAATAAACATGATCAACACAAAAATTTCATTTGCTATGCAGAATTGCATTATTATTGAAAATATTGTGAACCAGAAACTGCAAATGAAGTGGGTTTTTTCTAGTCTGACACTGTTGGTCACTGGAATAAACTTGTCCAGATTGCATTGCGACTAGTCACAATAGGTGTATAAACTTTGCAAACTAGGTGAAAATAACATATTTCATTAAAAATGCACTATACTATACTCTGATACATATTCATCATGTTCTTTTCACATTGTGGAGTAGTAGTGTACACAATAGCGAACTGGGTGCTGGATGATGGGGAGTGGTCCCATTCTGCCATTGTGTATACTACTGTAGAGTACTAGCATAGTGGTAATATTATGCACCTCAAGTATATACTATACATACATGTTACAGGGATCAGAATCTTTTTCATTCATGAATACCAATCTGCAAGTAAGTAAATAGTGCAATGCGTAACTCATCCTGTTTTTAAGATTTTATGATGGTACAGCAACCAGATTCTGGTTACCCGACAATTAACAAACCCTTTTTGTCTTTGCAAGTGAACGATGCAATTTGTGTTGTATATGAAACTTATTCATTGTCTTTGTGTAAGTGTTCATTAGCTACTGGACTGATATATGTCAATAATCATATGATTTATTGTGAGTTTCCTGCTATCCCAACCCACATACAGAATAGTTCTCATCATTGTAGCGACACTGATTTGTCTATCCCCTGAGCATGTTAACAGTGAGTGTTAATGAAATTCTGTTGTTATAGTCAGTCAAAGCATTGCCAAGACCACCAGAGAAATATTTCTTTATGTATGTTTCATCAGTGTTCATGGCAGTTCTAACTCTTCCTTGAACATCACCAGTACCTGTACAAACTGCAGTAAGACTTCAGCTGATATCCCCCTAAATTTTAACGATGATGAAAAAATATATATATTCAGGTAATATGATTTGACTAGAATCTATAAAATAAGTTTTAAAATGACATTATGCATACAGACATTATCAGGTTATGGTTAGTCTTGCAAAATGAAATTTAGGGGGGATACGGGCGGAAGTCTTTCCCAAATAGCCATGTAACACTAACAGTACATCGTCATGATCACGGTAATCTGAATATTTCAATAATTACATCTTTTCATATATTACTATCATTCACTCATATCATCCCTACTGTCCCGTTTCTATTATCCATATTAAACGCCATAACAAACGTGCGTACTGAATTTGATCGTCTGCCGAACAAGAAAAACACAGGTGTTCAACAGGTGTTGTAGATTTCCTGACTCAACATTAGCCAGGAAGTGATGTATCCTACTTGATGTATCACAATATACAAAACGTGGATTTACCAAATAAACATTACAATCTTCATTGATATCTCACCTGTCTTAATACATAGGCCCGACCACTTATCCATCTCAATAGGGAGAGATATTTAAGACTGAACACGAATATTGTGCAGAATATCGTTGCGAACGTCGACAGGTACAGTAGTTCCATCCTGCGCTGTCGCTTCCAGTCGGGCTAAGATTCGTCAGCTTGGTGTCAGAATGATGTGAATGAGTCATTCAGATGTATTCCAAAAGAAAAATCGAACATCACAGGTATCCCCTTTCCTGAACGTCGTTTTATTTGATCATGTGACTTTTTCCTGCACGTTGGTTTGTTTTAATCGGAAGTAACCGATGACTTGCCTCCCTTTGCGATAATACATCCCTAAAAACTACTGAAAAGATGTTTTAACGAATAGGCGTACTGATTATATATGAAAATGTGAGTCAGAACATTGTGTTTATTGTTATCCGTTGCGAGAAGGCTCTTCTTTCCACCTTCTTAAATTTTAATGCCTGAAACATCTGTAACGTCAAAATACGTGCAAAAGCATATCGACCATGGGTCATTTGTTTTCTGTGTACAATCAGTGTAAAATTCTCTTTCTCTCTCAAAAATTGCAAAGTGCGTCCTTCAAGAAATATCGGGGGATGGGGTTGAAGTGTTATTTGACGTACCTAGACAGTTTTTAACATTACGTGCCACAAATGTAACCAGGAATATATTTACATTGTGAAACCAGGGAACGAACGAGATTGACTGAAGCGGTGGTAAAATCTTCCAATGGGCGCGAAGTTAGTTATACATGGACTATGTTCAAGATACAATGCTCCGGTGAATGATTGCGCAACTTCAGCTCATTTACGAAATGCATTTCGCGGTATTTATGCTGCTATGCACTATTTTCTCCGCCCCCTTACTCCATCTGATTTCCAGATCGATATTCACAGATGTAAACTTGTCTTTACAAGAGGAAGAACGTTCCTTTTGGTAGCATTACTTCAATACCCCTGTCGTTATCAAGATACCCACCGTGCGCGGGTCATCTTATTGTACACAGACCCGTGCCTGTTATATTCGGACACTTGACGTAATTTCCATATACTATTAGACTTACATTTTAGGTACGAGTACACTAAACATTTGTGGGTACGAATTGTCCAGTTCCGTATAAGTAGAAGTTGGTACTTGATGCCTGTGTAACTCAACTGTTTTACTTCTAGATGAACTGTACTGTAGGTTCTTCATCCCTTTGTGTTATACAAGAACCTTTCTCCGCCTTCCTCAAAACCTGTCTCCATTCAACTGAAACAGTTATCTTCACAACTATGGTATTAGAAAGTTTGGGGTTGCTGGCTGGAACCTGTCTTGGAGGTGCATGGTTCGAAGACATCGCTATTCATTCTCTAAAACGGCAGAAATCTCACGGACCTGATAATATGTTAAATGAATACTTTCTTGAATATGAAGAATATTTATTGCCTTTACTGAACAAAATATTTAATTGTGTTTTATAATATGAAGAATATGTATTTCCTTTACTGAACAAAATATTTAATTGTGTTTTATCAACTTGTGGTATAAATTGTCTAAACTTGGAATCAGAGGTAAGCTCCTATCAGTTATCCACTCAATGTACCTTAATGTACGGTCGTGTGTCAATGTCAATGGTTTCTGTAGTCGATATTTTGAAAATAATTTAGGCTTAATGCAAGGGGAAGTGTAATCGCCCATCTTATTCTCTCTGTTCATTAATGACTTTGAAGACGCTTTTCTGCAAGATAATTGCGTTCCGTATGAGTGCAAAACTCTTAATCTTTTCTTGTTGATGTACGCTGACGATCTCGATTTATTTTCTCAGTCAGCCGATGGTCTCCAACAGATGCTTAATACCCTATCAACTTACTCCGAGAAATGGGGAATGCAGGTTAACACTCAGAAGACCAAGATTGTTGTTTTCCGACACGGTGGCAAAGTTCGGCCTTGTGAGATATGGAAGTATAATCATGACGTCATTGAGGTCCAAGATAGTTTTACATATTTAGGTATCGTATTTAACTATAACAATAAGTTCACAAATGCACAAAAACAGTTATCTTGTCAAGGTAGAAAGGCCTCATTTGCTCTTAATAATAACACACGGTCCTTGTATCTTAATCCTCAAACGATGTTGTCTGTTTTCGATTGCTATGTTGGAAGTGTTTTGTGCTATGCGTCTGAAGTATGGGGCTCTCATAAGGCTGAAAATATCGAAAGATTACATTTGGATTATTGTAAACGGTTATTGGGTGTCAAAAAATCAACTTGTATGGTTTATGCCGAACTTGGTCGTTATCCTTTGCGCTACAAACGGATGTTCAATATTGTCAAGTACTGGAGTAAGCTGCTAGGAACTGATAAGTATATTCTACGTGGGTGTTATGAACATCTATATGATGAGGTAGAAACAAATAATGTTCAGAACTGGGCCTTTCAGGTTAAGAATATGTTGACAACCCTTGGTTTTGGTGATATATGGTATAAACAAGAATTGAATGTCTCCTATCTGCCTGTCATTAAACAAAGACTCATTGATCATGCTTTTCAGTTTATTGGAAGTCAACTGTCCAGTTTTACTAAGTGTAGACTGTATAAACATATTATTGATACTTTCACTTTGCAATATTATCTTCAAAAATCAATTCCTGCAATTTATACAAAATATTTCATAATATTGACATGAACAATAGAACATGTCTGTCATGTCCCAATGATATAGAGGATGAATTCCATCTTGTATTAACATGTCCTGTTTATCAAAATTTAAGGAAATTGTACATTAAGCCTTACTATTGGAAAAGTCCATCAGTTTTCAAACTTGTCCAGCTCTTGAGTATCCAAAATGTTAAGCAACTCTGTAATCTGGGTAACTTCCTATTCAAGGCTTCACAGTTAAGACTAACTTTACTGTAAAATGTGTTTGTATGTTTGTTTATATATTGTACCAAACCAACCACTCTGTCTGTACCAAGGATGTATATTTTTTATGTTCACAACCGATACGCTTTACAGCTAAAGGTAAATACAGAATTGAATTGAATTGTGTCAACTTTTTAAAAAAGGAAATTTGGGATTAGCTAAAAGTTGTTTTAGTTTCATGATGAAAGATAAACCTCTAGTGAGTGGAACAAGTTTACAAATTGGATAGTGTTTTGTGTCAAGGAAATTTAGGATTAGCTAAAAGTTGTTTTAGTTTCATGATGAAAGATAAACCTCTAGTGAGTAGAACAATTTTACAAATTGGATAGTGTTTTGTGTCAAGGAAATTTGGGATTAGCTAAAAGTTGTTTTAGTTTCATGATGAAATATAAACCTCTAGTGAGTAGAACAATTTTACAAATTGGATAGTGTTTTGTGTCAAGGAAATTTGGGATTAGCTAAAAGTTGTTTTAGTTTCATGATGAAAGATAAACCTCTAGTGAGTAGAACAATTTTACAAATTGGATACGCAGTTATACGAGGTATAGACTAATAGAAGCGGACCCATAATCTCTCGTTTAGACCCTGAAGGAGCCCGAGGAGTGTTAATCAACAGTCAATACGATGAAGTAATGCACTTCCCACCCATTACATGTACACGCCCCCTTTTCCCAACACACGCACGCACGCACACACACACACTCGCGTGCAAATACACACAGGAAATATCCAGATAAACAACAGACTGACTGACTGAGTTTAGTTTTTACGCCGCTTCCAGCAATATCACGGCGGGGGACACCAGAAATGGGCTTAACACATTGTGCCCAAGTGGGGATTCGAACCCGGGTCTTCGGCGTGACGAGCCAACGCTTTAACCACTAGGCTACCCCACCGCCCCTGATAAACAACAGAGAAGATGATATTAATTAATGGTGATCATGTATAACATTTGGAATATACACAAACAATCCACCTTGCAGAGGAATAGCGGCCATAAATTCTCATTTTATTCTCCTAATACCACTGTCTAGACATACCAACATTAAACTGGATCTAAGTCGACTGAATGACGATTAGAAGTCTCTTTGACCCACAGACGGACAATGTTACATGGTGAAAGTTTATTAAAGAAGACATACGCAATTTATATAAGTTTAAGTAATTTAATTATACGTCTAACAACGACAGTTTATATTCACTTCTAAGAACGACTATTATATTCCTTCACAATGCACTACTTGACGGGATATTGTATCCCTGTGTATACAATGAGAGTGAGCATCATTAAAATCCCCGTAAGAAATCCATAATGTACAGTATCTCATTCGGACAGATAGGTCGTCTCTACGGAGCCGATAATCGTTTGGCTACATTTCAGTATTGGATGAATATCTAAAACCCAGACGATGCCACGTGGAATGTGTTTCGGTGAAATATACCTGCAGCAATTGATCTGTCTAAAGGGTTGTCAGGAATTGCCACATGAGGCGTGTTTCTTCGTTACTAATACCGTATATGTTGTAGGGGAATACGGTGTGATGTATCCGCACATGTACAGTAGGACAAGCCTTCAACAGTTTTGTCTTACTGCGGCTATAGACTAGGCCCGATTCTGGAAAAAAGGCTCAAATAAAAGATGTTGAGGCATTTGAAAACAAGCGGAGATTTATATGCGAAGACTCTGTGCACCACGTATTTGTAAAATCAATGTTAACACCGTTTCACAGTAAGGAGCTGAATTACGTCGATTGTAAACTGCATGTGGCGTGCACAGACATTAATCAAAACGCCATCGACTAATAAATAACAAATATTTTACACGCAAGGTAAGATATTGAGAATGACCATAACTTTAAAGACTGGTCTTGGTACTCAATCCCAAATAGTTTCACAAACTGAAAAGATCTGCCACATCAAATGCATTGTAATTAATACGCTTGACCAGTACGCCAATGTTGCTTCATTTTGACATACATTGGATTAAAGCGAATGAAATGATGGTCCAGATATGTTACGCTGCAAACAATTAAATCTTGCAATATGTCGGTGAAAGGAACAACATCAGTGAAACGTGAGGAGGAGATGGTGACGTCATCATAAAACCATCATGGCTATTGGGCCCATGGTATTTATCATGGTAAATATATAACACATTGGAATATCGTGGATGTGCAGAAAGCCGGAGAATGATTACGAAAGACAATTGATGAACTGACAAAACTCACATTTCTGCTTAGAAATGATTTCAAGAAAGTGATTAGCTTAGCGTGATGTATAGCCTCAGATGTATTCCATCGTGCTAGTCATCCCTGGGGGTGATCGGTCCACTTTCCCGACAAAGTATCGACGTTGATACATTTCAGGATCGGATGGA